TAAGTTGATTCCGAATTTCATATTTCTGTTGCTCTACAGTTGTGTCATGGCAATGAAAACACTAAAAATTTATTTTTTAATTTGAAAAATCATGAAAATTCATTATGTAGGAGAGAGATATGAAGCCCATTTCGTCCCGAAAGTAAACCTTTTTCCCAATATCTATTACTGTTTTGTAGAAAATAAAAAGTTACATACTAAATAAACAATTCAGTTTGATGTCGTTAGATTTCAGAAGATTGTAATAGTTGTACTGTCAAGCATCTCCGAGTATGGAGTCGTAAATTGTAACTTTTTTCACTCATGGTTGAGTATAAAACCCTAGTAAATATATTATATGTAGGAATTTGATGTAGTGTTACGAAAAGATTATCCACATGCGCACTCATTTCTCTATCGTCTGATCAATCGAGCTCTGAGACAATCAAATATTCAAGCTATGTTTCTCTTCGGTTTCTTTCTTCAAGATTTGCATCAACAGTTGAAATGTGAGCATGAAAACGTTTTTTGAAAACAGTTAAAAAACCCGAAAGTTACGGTATATCATGAACAAATAATGTCAAAGCCAGAAGTTGGAAAATTAAGAAATTCGATTATCAACATGATGACTAATAGTTTGCTGTCTACAACTGTTGATCCAACTATGTCAGAATTTTATCTTGATCCATCGAGATCAGATGATGAACTACAAAATACTCTGCTCGAAGTTGAATCAAGTCTAACTAAAACATCTTTCCCTATGCTGATATATCAGCTCTAAGCCGGTTACCTAGTGAATAGAGAAATTCTATTGATGTCTGGTCTCGAGTTTATAATGACGAAGAATAGTATCTACTATGATGTAGAAAGAAAAATCTGACTTGCTAATTTGAAACTCGTCTCGAACATAATTGAAAAAGATGATGATCGACTATTTGAAGATTTTGGTGGAAGAAGAACAATGATGAAATTACGTTGATTTGTTTGATTGAGACACTAACAGACTTTTGTAGCACAACAACTTATCATATACAAGATGTATTCAATGAATTGATTGAATTATTTTCAAAAGAAAAGTGGATTCTACTAGTGAAAATGTCTTGTTTTGCAGGATATAATGTTGATCGAGTGTTCAATTACATTCTTACTCTGAATAACTATGACGAAGCATTGAAATTTTGGATTAAATTCAAAAATAATGGTGAATTAACGTGTGGGTGTGAGTATTGCCATTCTATTTAACCACATCCACATCCTCAAGATATACTTGGTTTATGTTTGAATAACAAGAACAAAACAAATACACAAAAGCTCTAACATAACTACTATGTAGCATATGAAAAGAAAACATATGAGAAAGGAAAAAAAAACTGAAAATGCAATAAGGTCTGAAATTTCTCAAAGCAGTCAATCACACAAAGGGCCACATTATAATCTTTGCACGCATAATATAAATATGTTCTCTTTTATGTCTTCTATTTGTATGAACACATATAATACAAATTTTCTGAGAATTTTCCTGTCTATTCTTCGAGATACAAGAGACGAAAAGTGTCTAGCAATAAGTCTAGTTGGTTTAGAATTCAGTATACTGTGTAAAATGCTAGTACATAAAGTCGTTATTAGCAACAACTTTATTTCAGCGCAAAACATACGAAAAAAACCTCTGTTTCAGTATAACTAAGAACACTTTTCTCAAACTAAAATTTGAAACCATAAATTTGGGACCTTCGTCGCCAAAGGGTTAATTATGTCACCAGTTAATGCATCAATATACTTAGAGTTCGTGAATTTCACTGGACGAATCAGTTGTCAAATATATTAGGGGTGTGGAGTGTGGGTGTGGATCAGGCATAAGAGAAGATCCACACTCCGTACCCCATACCGATAGCCACAGTCATAGTCACACTACACCCTACACGCACACGTACACACACACCATCCACACCCGCATTACGAAAAAAATTTCAAGTATCTCCATTCCCGTTCAATCAAACGGGATGATTTTTTGGTTCATAGTAGAATTTTATTCAAAATTTTTTTTTATATGGATAATATAAGCAAAATACTTCTATTAAGTATTATTCTTGATCTTACTAAAGAAATTTTATCTATTATCAAGTAAGAAAAATATATGTAAAGCATTCCATAGATAAGTTTTAGTTGTCACTTAAAATAACAAAAAGCAGAATTCAAAACAAACTTTATGAATGATGCAATATTGATGCAAATAGACCACATTGTGAAAGTAATTAGTTTAAAAGCCAACGAGCACAATATTTCCAGTTTTCAACGATGGATTACTGAGTTTTTTTTGAAGAAGTTGGTGATTCGATGTCTAAAGCATCTGAATTGTGAGTTTCAATTTTCGGACACTAATCTTAGTATTTAAACAAACTAGTTTTGAAAATTTGGTCTATTTACATCAATATTGCATCCTTCATAAAGTTTGTTTTGAATTCTGCTTTTTGTTCTTTTAAGTGACAACTAAAACTTATCTATGAAACGCTTTACATATATTTTTCTTACTTGATAATAGATAAAATTTCTTTAGTAAGATCAAGAATAATACTTAATAGAAGTATTTGGCTTATATTATCCATATGAAAAAAAAAAACTTTGAATAAAGTTCTACTATGAACCAAAAAAGCATCCGATTTGTGTTGAACTGGAATGGGGATATTTGAATTTTTTATCGTGGTGCCATTTATGGGATACCTGGTATCTATCGTATTGTATCCCTAGTGAATGTACTGAGCTAAGGGTACCCGAAAAAGTACCCTGCTACTGGTATGTCACAGGAACTTTCGAGTACTGAAGTACCTTAAAGTACTTTTAGGTACCTATAAGGTACTCGACCAAGTACCCTGCTGGAAAGCATCCACTAAATGGGTACTTGAAGGTACTGATCAAGTACCCAACTGGGTACTATTGTTCAGTAATTTTGGGTACCCTGTTGCCAAACTTGCAGTATGTTGATGATCGAAACTAACCTCGTGCTTTTTTTCATTTTTGTTTCTCTCAAAGTAATTTATGATATTTTCTCGATTTTATTTTATTTTATTTTTCTAATTCTGAAAAGCCAAGCAGGTCAAATTTCGAGATCTGCCCGAACGCGAATTGGTCAGATCTCCATCAGACCACTTCAAGGTAGTCCTCTCTCAATCTACGATTGAGATCAGCATGTCCTCGACTAGTAAATAGTCAAGAAAAATAATCTAGAAAAAATTAGTATGAAAAAATATTTTTTTCTTATGCTTCCTCGAGTTACTTATATGAAGCCGTATATGCAAAAGAAAACGGTGAATGAACAGTTGCTACACAGAACGCAACAAATCTAGGGTACCCTGCAGAGCTTTTCCTAGTAAAATTACAGGTGCGGGTACTCATGCAAGTACTTGTTCAGTAAACATACTGCAATGGGTACCCAATGCAGCACCTACGTCAGTATAATTACTGAAAATTTTCGAAGTACCCATATCGGGTACCCTGCTGAGGCTTTCTCAGTACATGGGTACCCTGAACTCAGTACTTTCTCTAGGGATCCTATCTATCTATTCTATCCCATGTACTTGAGTAATAAAAAAAAACTGAAAAAGTACGATTTGTTATCATTGATTTAAATCATAGATTGATCATAGATAGTCAATAATATTTTTTTGATTTCTTTTTCGGTCTTTTATTATTACCCTATGCTTATCCCATTCTATTTATTTATCCTATTCTATCCATCTATCTAAAAGTGATCGAAGTTTTTTTTTTGAAATGTTGAGACTAGTGGCGCCACATTGTTTTCCATACAAAAAATATTCGAATACACGGAAAGACACTTTATACTACATTGGCTATTGTTTTTTAATGATAAAATACTAGATAAATTAAACTGAATAGTATATTGGAAAAAATTCTACTGCAAAAATACTTTTCTTGTAATTGTTTAATTTTTTTGTTTCTGCACTAAAGTGAACACTTCATGTGTCTTTGCTTTGCAAACAAATATGAATTTTCGTAATATATTTAATTTCACTTCGTATTTTTTTGTGTATATTTTTTGCTCTTTGTATCGTTTTTGGAAATACAAAATGTCTCGATATTGGCAGTTAAGAGTCAATATTAGAGATAGTTGCTCATAAAACATGGTAGAATATTATGTTGATTAATTTTAGTCAAGAAAAAAATGGGAGAAAAAGTATTATTTTGAAAACATTAAGGAGGATAACCTGAACGAATCAATTTTCTGTCTCAATGTAGGAATTTATCCAATTGAGCTTATGAAACGAACGAGAAAGCATTCTATAGTTCCAAAATTGATTTTTGAATTCACTCAAACTGATCAGGTTTTAGTGGAACGAAAGAAAACACGTACTTTTTTTCTAAGAAGGAAGTTGAGTCATCGTGAACTGATTCATCAACTAAAAGAATCGATTCTTGAGCGATTCTGTTGAGAACATCAAATAAAGCCATCCTGTTTTGAAGAAATCCGTTCCTTACCTTTCCAAAGAAGAATGGAAAGGAAACTATTCTCATAATTAACAGAACGGTTTAGAATGTTTTCTACTCAGATTAGGAACGATTTAGGATCGAGAAGAAAGCATTCTATAATAGTGAGAAACGGCAAAGAACACGTTTCTTTAAATAGAGAACGTATTCTTGCAGATTATGAACGCATTCAGTAAATTATGGAACACAATCTTCATGGATAAGAAATCTTTCTCTAATTTAACGAACATGTACTCTTCTGGCTTTTTTTGGAATATTTTTCACTGGGTCTCTATTGCCAATTGTTCAATATACACATAATGATAACGAGTTTATTAAAAGGGTATTTATAACATTCGTGCTTATTTGACAACTTTTTTTTTGACATGAAGTATTCTATCAATGAAATTGACCTTTTATTCTCTCGAAAATTATCAATTTGCGCCATTTTGTTCGCTCATCTTTCATCATGAATTTATTTTTGATTAAAAATTAGCGTTGGTATAAAGAGAATGTTAAATGAAAAAAAAGTTATTTTGTCATTAAAATATAAGATAGCCTCTCACAGGATAGCCGCGAAAACCATAGCCCATTGAAGGATATGCCATTGGATAACGAGGCATTACATCGAACGGGCGACCAATGAGGCCATCGCCATTAAAATCAATGCCTGTTGCTCGTTCGAGCGAACTCCAGAAACCTAAAGACAATAGACAATCATTTTTTTAGAGCAACAGTACGAAACATATTTAATATATCTATATCTACCTTGTCCTCCAATGTATCCATCACCATTTAAATCAATTCCAAGATTGCGTTCGAGACTATTGACAATGTGACCTATTCAAAGAAAGACAGAAATAAACTTATCTTGTTAATGAATGGCAGAAATCATCTTTTCAATAATAACTTACGGTCCATATGTGTATGTCTTGTTTGCAAACTTATAGGAAGAAAAAAAAATGCAATGATGAGCGATAAACTGTATGTAATAATTTTCATTTATATAGTATAATGTTTGCTATCAAATGACGACGTTGACACGCTAATATGACACATGACTTATGCCCCCTATTCTCATGATTTTGCGCATATACAACTACGATTGTGTATAGACTGTTTTGATAGACCAAGACGAAGCGAAAATAGAAAAAGAAGAAAGTGAAAGAAGGAACTCATTTACATAGAAGTGCGTCATTTTCGTTCTTCTTTATTTATCAGCATATTTCTGTCAGCAAGTAAACATCAATCAAAAAAAAAATGAGTGACGCAAAATAATTATAGTATCAATATGTTCAAACTTTCTTCCCTCTTCCCCCTCCCTTTACGCTGCATTGAACTAATTTTTTCTAATAGATTCTCTGTCGAATTTACTCAAAACTAATGGTTTGTCAACTGTTTCATTGTAAAATCTTAAGGTGCAAAATGTCATCAGAACCTATCAAAGTCACCAAAAAGTAGAAAAATAAACACATTTGACTAAAAAAAACTCTGCATTTTCTTGAAGTGGATTCACAAGTATGAGGACCATGGTTTTCGTAAATTTCTTGGCTAGTTTCAAATATGGTCTCTCTTATTGTGTAGAATGAAGATTATTTGAATTAAAATATGCGACGACAAACATTAACTCTTCTCCGTAAACGAACAACAGATAGCAACATTGTAATCTTATTTGCGCAGTTGAGCAAAATAAATCTCTTTTTCAAAATCTTAGAGATCCGACCATAAGGTCTAATCAATTGTCTTCAAAACAAAAAATTCAACTTGAATGGATTATATTTGAGTAAGCTTCATTTGTTTTTTAATGTAATGTAACTTCTATCGTCATTTGCTCCTCTAACGAAAAGTTTCACTTCTTCTCGTAGTTATACAGACAAGTTTTCTCATAATAACCGAAACGAAAAGTAATAACCGAAACGAAAAGTAAGGACAGAAAATAATTAAAATTTGTCGATACGAATAGGAGACTCAAGATTGTGTATATCATTAAAATTAAAAAAAACTTTTATGACGCATTTTGTAATGTCTCAGTAGATCTTTTTTTTAAATACTTTCTAATATAAAAGAATATTCAAATTTTCTATGATTAAGTTCATTAAAAAATCGAAACTTGTCATCAAATTTAAATGAAAATATTCAAGGTTACATAATCATAACATCCAATTGAATTTCAAAGAGTAAGTTTTTTCAAATAGATATGAGTCTAAAGTATCATATCAGAAATGTCCAAGATTCAGAAAATTACATTATGCGTTTTGGTTATTGCTCAAACAGCTATTATGAGATTGATTTCATGGATGATGACATGTTTGTGAGAATGAAAAAGCATTGTTGAGTATATCTGTCTATGAAATAAAGATTTTCGAGCATCCTCACTAATTGAGATTTCCTTTATTTATATATGTATGGCAATGCATGAATAAAGCTTTTTCTAGCATCCACATTGATTGAAATACCATTTGAATATATGTTCACATTCAATTTTTATGATTTCGTCACATCCTCTCTTATAGAGATTAGCTTTGAATGTGCATAGATAGGTTCAAAGAATTTTTTGAAAAATTCAAAGATTTAATGACATTGAAAAGAGTTAAATTGAGAATTAAAACTGTCATCTATGATTGCTAGGTGATTATGTGTAAAATAAATTCGAAATATGACACAGATTGTTTTGTTATTTCTATCATTGTTAATAAGAAGAAGATGATTATTATCTAATGAAATTATTCTTTTTTTTGCTATTATTTTGTGTATTTTACATCCAGTTTTATATCTTTTTAGCTAATAGTATTTTGATTTTGTTTTTTGATTCAAAATTGAACAACTATGGCAATTAATCTAAAAATGTGTTAAATTGTATTTCAAGAAAAAAATTCTTGAGGGTAAATGAGAAATTTTATTCATTAGGGAAAGCAATCAACAATATGAGGGTGTGAGTGTAGGTGTAAGAAGCGACACTGCCAACATCCATACTCCACACCCACACTCCACCCTTTTCATGAAAAAGTAGAACAATAAACCCTTTTCATGAAAGCGTAGAACAATAAACCGTTCTTCGCTAGCCATAAACCCTTTTTATTTTAAAATACCCTTTTTCTCGGAAACTCTTTCACACAAAAAACCCTTTAAC